CTAGGTTGGCATCTCAGCCCCACCTTTTCACTGTCGAAACTATTAAATGTAGCCGTCTCTTCTACTCCAATAGCTACAGGTCTCGCACTTCTCGTCTGTGTAACTCACTTCCTCTTACTTGTTTCTCTGATAGCTATAATCTTCAATTATTCAAATGCAACGTCAATCGACATCGTCAGATGCCTTGATCTAATTCCCTGTCCTTCTCTTCATTCTTTCCTCTATCACGCCTCTTTACTCTCTGTAACCCCTTGCGTGCTAGTAGCATTCTCGCCTTGCTTGGGATGAAATGCTTATAAAACATATCTAGCCAGTTCAACAGTAAAACTGTGATATCTAGTTACCGATCTAGTACTACGCTTAAATTCATGCAGTTGATGCACCAAGAAGGAAAGCTCACCAGATTAATTGCCAGGGAAATATTGGAAGAAGAGACATAGGCAATCTATGTGATGTTCTACTCCTGAGAGTACGCGTCCGTGTCATACGCGTGCTTAATCTTGAAGACAACCAGATAAACGCCATAAAAAACAAACAGACAAATAAAACTCTGAAGACGAAGTTATGTTCATCGGCAAGTTTATTAATAACCAAAACGTTAAAACTAGAAAAAGAAATAAATCTATGTAAATAAGACTAGTTAGTTTTAAAATACAAACAAGCAATGGTAACGAGAAATATTAGAAAAGCAGCCGGAGGCTTGAATATCAAATTAAGACCATTTGTCTAAATACGTAAAGGAAAGTAGCGAATAGTTCCTTTACATGACGATGTATAAACTTGGCTAAAAAATACATTCCAATGTTGTGGTGAGTTCGCAAAAAATGACGTTAAGAGATGGTTACATTTGGTAACAATGTATGTGGGTAGTGGACACATGTTTAAAGGATTCTACATAGAAAGATACAAATGTAAAATAAACGTATGAAATATGGCTACATAAAAAAAAATGTTCAAATAGGCGTAATAAAATCAATTATGCTCAATAAATTAGTTTCAACTTATAAAGAAAATTACTTCAAAGTTACTTTCATCAGACCAGACAACTTTGGCCCAATCCTCATCAGTCCAATTTTCATGCTCTTTTGCAAAAGGAAGTCTCTTTCTCTTATTAACCTCAGACAACAATGTTCTTTTTTTTAGCTTTACATCCTCCGAGGCCAGCTTCTATTAACCTTTTCCTCACTATGCAAGTCGATATCACTTTGTTTTCTTGCCTCTTGAAATTCAGCAGTCATGTTAGATGAGGTTTTTTTTTCTTATCACCTGGAGACACCCTCTTTAGCAGCCTGTCTTCCCTTGAGTTTGTACACCTTTTCCAGCCTTGACAATCACAATTTTTGAAAGAATTGGTTTTGTTAGGTTTTAATGGTTGTTTATACATCATTTCTTGAGCATTTCACTTTTCTTGCAATTTTGGGTTGTGATAACACTTTTTGAACAATACAATGATTTCAGCCCTTTTAGTTTCAGTAAAGTTTTTCTTTGGTGATATTTTCAACAAAGCAGCAACACTTATAAATTGATACCAAATTTGTTACTAAAAAATTAGAAAAGATTTAGTACTACAGATTAAATTTTAGCATTACAGATTAAATTTCAAATAAATTTTGCTACTTATGCTAAATAAGTAAAAATGAACACAAATCATTATTGGTATCTATAAATGCCAGTGAAGCATCAATTCAAGAATGATTCTTATAGTATTTTCAGCTAATGTATGTACAAATATCAATCCTATTTCTAACTTTTCTTCACCAGCACCATAATTTTATCAATGAGTGTATGTAGTAGATGCATCAGACTAGTTATAGCAACAATATTCAATGTGTGGGCGAATAGATTTATAAATGTACATGATTGTTTTTGACTTAGGAATTGATTCCATAAAATCACTTTACTTTGTCAGTGGAAAACGTGAGTCCAAGAGAGCACAAATCGTCTCACTCTTGGAGGTTAGCATCAGCCATGATAATGACAGGCAGAAAATATTCGCTATGTTGATTAAATGAAAGCAGCTTTGTTTTTCGATGCGTTAAAATTACAACTCATTCCTTGCTCAACTATTAATTGGAGTTCTTTTCCAGATCAGTTGTCAGTTTTACTTTGTTGAATCTGTTGGACTTGGTACTAAGGCAGGAATATATAGCTGTGTCATCAGCGTAAATTCTTAATTTAATGTTGAATCTTGTGTAATTTGATGAGAAGAATCACATGACATAGGGAATGTCTTTGATGGCGATAAAAAAACCAACGTAGGTCCAAGGCTAGAGCCCTTAGGGACCTCGTATTCATGTGAAAAGAATTAGGAGCGTGTCCGTCCAGCACGAACTTCATTACTCGATTTGTTAAGAATGATTGGATCAAACCAAATATTCGTCCAGAGCTACCGTAGCCCTTGAGCTTGTGGAGAAGGCCAACATGTCACTGTCAAATGCCTTTTGAGATATCTAGAGCCACAGCCTGAACTTCGACATTCTTATCTAAAGCTTGATAGATAAATTCAGTGATAACCGTTAACACTTTTTAATCGAAAGAAGGCCGTGTGAAAAGAGATGCTTAATAAATTCGGCCTTGATTAGAACGTCTAATATGTTAACAATTTCATCCGTGCATTGAATATTGATGTCACATCTGATCTGGTGCTTCTGCTATGTATCTAGAGATTCTTGATAAACTCCAAAGAAGAATCTGCGATTTTATTGATCCTGATCTTACATATGTGCATCAATCAGTTTCCCACTGCCGTAGTGTATCTTCCGTGTGTCTTTTCAATAAATATTTTCATGGTAATTAAATCTGATCAATTCTCCCTATTGGTAACTCGGCTTCATGAATTTAAGCCTAGATTGGCAGCTCGGTCTCATCATTTTACGGATGAAATTGCTAATTATAACTTTCTTCTCTCGCACTTCTCACCTGTGGAAATCACTTCCAGCTTCTTGATTTCTTGTCAACTACAATCTTCAAAACTTTAAATGCAACATCAGTCTCATTGAATCCTGTTCTTTTTATTGCCCTTTCTTCTCAGTAACGTTTTCATAGTTTCCTTCACTCTCAGTAACCCCTTGTGCCTTAGTGGCTTTATCACCTTGCTTGGAGTGAAATGATTTTAAAAAAAGGTTTACAGAGAATTATCTTTTCTCTAAGAAAGATTCTGGCTATGGCATTTACCTTTGAGAAGGACCTTTGTTTGACCTCTATGTAACATGATTCAAATGACAGCAGAACTTGCTTGTAAATCACGCCATAGTATCGGGTTTTCTTTTTCTTTTCTTTCTTCTTTTTTTTTAAGTTTACACCAAACCGTTTCCACCAAATCAACTTCAAACGTGTTGATTTCTTCACTAAAAGATATAGAGGTTTTCGCTGTTCTACTTCGACAGTATTCTCACCTCGACTCTAGAGTGTTGCTCTCTGCACATTGCAGGTGTTTAGTAAGTAAAAACAAAAAAAAACTCACGAAGAAGAAAATATATAATGAAAAATATCCAGTACATGTTAAAAGTGAAAGTTATTTAGTTCTATGAACTGTTGGAGAGGAAAAATTGTTTTGTTTTAAACACTTAAATATTGTTGGTAATATAATCAAAAGTAGATTCAAGTACGTCAATATGTTCATAATGTGGCGACAGCGTTCCAGCTTTATGTATTTTATTTTCGACTGGAACTCGAACTCGGCTCTCCGATTTTACACCAGAAAATTTACTATTTCACCCGGAGAAACAGGGCTTAAAATACACCGATTGCAAAGGTGTAAGACTCACTCCACCCAGAAGAAAGAGTCCCTTTCCACTATAATCAACCAGTCAGTTATGTGCCATGCGTGAAACACATCTTTCGATACATAACTGACGAGGCAGATTTTTCCCGCAGTAGGTTGCCATTTTTTTTGCGATAGACCAGTTGCCATCCAAGGCTACAGAACTCGATCTGTCCTGCTATTTACCCATAGCTGGGGGGAGAAGAAAAGAATTCATACCTTTCCCAAGGGTATTAGCATGTAAGTGAATATAATGGATTCGACTGGAACTCGAACTCGGCTCTCCGATTCCTCAATCCGAGCCTCTAGTGTAAACCAGAACCATGTCTATCTTTTGGACTCTAGTGTAAACCGGGCCTATATCTATAATTTTTACGATTGTGCAAATAAGAACTATGTTTACTGCTTTAACTTTTAGTTGAAAACCATTTTTATGTGTACCTTTTTGACTTGTGTGTAAATGAGACTTATATTTACGTATTTGACTCGTGACTAACGAACATACCTATGTCTACTGTTTTGACTCATATGTAAACGAAACCTATGTCTCCCTATTTCACTCGAGACTAAAATCCATATCTATGTTTTACCTTTTTGAATCGTATGTAAACGAGATCTATATCTACTTATTTGACTCGTGACTAAAAACCACACTAATGTTTATCTTTTTTTTACTCAAATGTAAGCAAGACCTATGTCTAACTATTTGACTTGACACGAAAACGATGCCTACGTCAACCTTTTTGACAGGAGTGTAAACCTGGACCTATGCCCACCTTTTTGATTCGAGTATAAAGTGTATCTATATCTACTTTCGTGACGTGAGTGCAAACGAGACCTATGTTGACCTCTGTGAACCGAGTCTAAAATGTATCTATGTCTGCCTTTTTCATTTGAGTATAAAACCAGACTTAAGTATTCAATTTCATTAATTCATTGTGATGTTTTCCAATAAGAATTGAATTTGCCATTAAAAAGGTGAACAAGTGTTAATATGTGGTTGAAATTAACCAAGATCACCATCCAGGAAACCTTACTTTAGTCCTTTTTTATTGCAAATATAAACCTATCACTTTTGAAACATAAAAACACTATTGGGCTATTTTGAATTCTGGTCCCACATAGGCATTCAGAACGATTGGGCGTTCTGTCAAATATCTTTATCCAATATATATTGTTTTTTCACTTTTTTGACTTCAAAATAACTTTCTTTTTATCATCGTCGTTTTTTCTTTAGATCTCCACTCTCTTTCCCATCCTTTTTCTTTTTTCTTTCTTTTTTTTTGTTTTCTTCTTTCTTTCTATATTTCTCCTTTCTTTGGTTTCTTCTTTCTTTCTTTCTTTATTTTTATCTTTCTTCTTTGTAATCTGCCACACGTACATAATACAAGTAATGACAGAAATTATTTAATATAAAATAATAAAGTATTTAATGACCAAATGAAATTAAAATGCATTAACAACAGAAAGACTGTTGATTAATTATCAGTTAATACACGACTGCGTAGAACTGCTAAGTAAATACTAATTCGTCTTGAAACACGTGACACTCGACTTTAACATCCGGGTTAACACAATAGTCAATACATAATTGTAATTTCAGTCAGAGGCATGATATCTCTATAGTGATTTTCTAAGCCCGGCTTAGATGTGGCACAAGGCCGAAAGTATGCGGCACCCAGTGAGGATCGAACTCACTACTCAGTCGTAAATGATCTAGCAAGACAAGCTTTCTAACCATTACACCACGTCAAGGTGCCCATGATATCTCTCTATATATATTAAATGGCAGTCTACATTTTCATTGAATAAAGATAAAAGTTCAAACTCCGGTGTCAATCGTGACACTTTTCATTCACATATGACACTTTTAAAGAAATCCTCATTTTTTTTTTTTCTATTTTCTTTTATCATATATTTCTTCCTGTATTTTCATCTTCGTACTTCATTTCATGTTTTTTTTTTTCATTTTCTCTCCTCTTTTTCTCTTTTTCTTTTCTTTCTTAGCTTTTTCTTCTTTCTTTTCAGTTCTTTCTGTCTTTCTTCCTCAAAAGATGACCTCCATTTTTTTTTTTTACATTTCTCGTAACTAAACAAAGATTTTATAAGTGTTGTGTTTCGGAAGGAAGTTTTCTTTTGTGATGCACCTAATAACATACTCCTTCTTCATTTTCTGTCCTTGGCTTTATAACTTCTTGCACTTCCAGTCGTCATTTACTTCTCTTGTTACAGAAAAAACATCTTTCCTGTAGGTTCGGGCACCAGACATCCAGTAGAAAATCTGTAAAACTATATTCGTCATCTAGTGCATCTCTTTAATTAGATAGTGTTGCGAAAATCTGATATCGTTAAACTGATCCTCGGAATTTAGTCAACAAACAGAAATTTAAATCAAGTATTTTTTTATTAGTTGTGTGCAAAATTTTCTCAAGAAAAAAATTTTTTTTACGAAAGTATATTCAGCTTCTAGTTCACCCTCCCCACAAAATTAGAATAATTTAACTACTTATAAACTCTTGTTTTATAAACGTCGATCAGTCAGTCAGCTACAAGGGATACACGATACATGACTGACTTTTTCCGCAGTAGGTTGCCATTTCTTTCTGTGGTAGACCAGTTGCTATCCAAGGCTATAAAACCTGGTTTGTCCTGCTTGGGGGGGGGGAGAGAAGAAGAGAATTCATACCTTTCTCAAGGGTATTAGCACGTAAGTGAATGTAATGGATTCAACTGGAAATCGATCTCGGCTCTCCGTTACCCACTAATCCACCGTGCCTCCTAACATCGATACATATCTGAAAGCAGACTGAATAGGTGGGTAGACCTCGGTTAGGTTTACTCATGAGTCAAAATGATATACCGTATTTCGCTGCTTGTAAGACGCTCCGATAAATTAGAGTCACCCAAATTTTGAAGGAAGAAATTAGTAGAGTGTTTTTCTTGTACTTCATAGCCCTCCTCACTATCCCCAATTTTACCTCCTGAAATAGCATATTTCAGCAAGAAAACTCGACTAATCTTGACAAATTCATCACAGATCAAGAAGTACTAAATTTATGGCGTCCCGAGTATGACGATAAACAACATCCGGCAGTAATAGCTCTGATCAGGAGGTTTTGAGGAGCATGGAATCACCTCTTAATTGCAGTTGCTCCCAGGTCTACCCTGACTCGTGGTGATAGTACCGGCCAGGAGGTCCCAGCTATGGACAGATAGTTAACCCCAAAGTGGGTTCAAAACACTATGAAAGTATAAAAATAGATTTTTATGGTAAAATTAGCAGCTATATATTTTTGAAAAAATACCACCAATACATCTTTGAAAAAAAATTACCAGTAATACATTTGACAAAAACCGTCTTTACAAAAATATATCAATGAAACCTTATCTATAAACAGATTTCTTACAAAGAATACATACCCTATTCATATGAACCTATCCTAAATTTTTTATCGGCATTAAATAACCCACTTAGGTGGTGGTATGCCGTAAAACAAATAAACCAAATCAAACCAAATTTATGGTAACTATTTAGAATGTAATAGTTAGAAGAGAATCTTCGAGGAAATTAACATGTCAAATTAAACAAAATCCAATTATTATTCGTCAAGAGTTTCAGGATGATTTGCTTTCACCAGGAATCGGGATGAAAGAATTGGGAATTCGTCTCATCAGGAATTTCACACAGGAATCTGTGTCACTAAACGGACAATAAGCAATGAAAGTTATAGGAACAATCTAAAGTCACGCCCCCCTCGGAAAACTGCACTGCTATTGAAAAGGCACTGTGATGCCAGGTTAAAATTCGTTTTTGAACATAAGGGTAAGGAAAAATCGTATTGGGAAAGAGTATTATGGACAGACGAAACCAAAATTGAGTTTTTTGAACTTAATTCTAGAAATTATGTTTGGAGGAAAGATGGTGATGCCTTCAAACAAAAGAACGCAGTTCCAACAGTGAAATTTGGTGGTGGTAGCATCATCATTTTGCTTTTGCAAAAGGTACTGGCAATATATCAGTAATAGATGATAGAATGAATGCCACTGCATATCAAAATATTTTGGATGCATACTTAATAATTTCGGTAAAAAATTTTGAACTTCCTCTTGATTGGATCTTCCAACAAGATAATGATCATAAGCACACTGCAAAATCTATGAAGAAATGGCTTGCTGAAAATAATGTAAATATCCTGAAATGGTCAAGTAAGTTCCCAAATTTATTCCCAATCGAGAATTTATTGGCGTTATTTGAAAATTCAAATCCAATCGAAGACCATATGCGAAAAAGAAAAGAACAAAATACGAACTAAAATTTACAAATCATTAACTGAGAATTACAATAAGAGGTTGGTTGCTGTAGAAGTGAATAATGGCTATACTACAACGTATGAAATGAAGATTATGTATTTTTTTGTATTGTACGAATATTGTTTTACCCACTAAAATGGATAAATGGGATTATTTTTATTAAATCAATTTTTTCTGTTTTCTATGCATATTTAGTTATTATGCATCTGTGTACAGTTAATTATATGATAAGTATATTTGTTCATTAGCTGGAAATACAATAAATTAAAAAATGTGTACGAATATTTGTTTCTCCACCATAACTGTATGTCTAATGAATTAATGGTTATATTTTTTAACCGACATATTTATTATTTCAAACGTTAGTTTTAGTGAATACCCGTATTTAAAATAGACGTTCCATTTTTATATTAAACATTGTGTATTACATCTCGCCCAACGTACTTGAAAAATCTTAATAAAGGAAATGTGCTCCCCAGCACGGTTCGATATTTGGGTCCCCCTTTGTACGATAAACTTGCCTTAGACTGCTCGGCCACAGAGGGCTAACAGACCAGCAAGTTTCTGTTTTCCTTAGGGAATGCTAAATACAATACCCACTGTTTAAAATAAAAAATGCGGCGTCTATTTTAAATATGAAGTAATAAATAAATATATTTATATAGGTAATAAATAAATATATTTATATAGACAATTTATCTCGAAAGAAACTATTTTGCATATTTATAAGTCTACCATTCGTCCATACTTTGAATATTGCTGGCGCATTTGGTTTGGTGCTCCTGGTGTATATTTTGAGATTCTTGATAAGAAGAATCTGCACTGTTATTAATTCTGACCTGGCATTTCGGCTTCAGTCCCTTTCCCACCGCCATAACGTAAACTATCTCTCTGTCTTTTCTATAAATAATTTCATGGTAATTGTTCTGATGAACTTTCCTCTATGGTACTTAGGCTTTATAAACTTATAACGATCTCATCAATTTACATTTGAAATGGCTAGATATAACCGTAAGTTCTATGCCAACAGTTTCTTCTCTCGAATTTCTCGCTTATGGGACTGTCTTCCGACTTCTAGTTTCCCCGTCAACTTTGATCTTCAAAAATTTAGATGCAATGTCAATTGTTATTTTCTGTGTTCTTAATTTTAATTTTTTATCCTCCTCTCTCCTTAATAGTAATTTTCTCATATTCTCTAACACTCAGGAACCACATGTTTCCTAGTGGCTTTATTGCCTTGCTTGGGGTGAAATGATTAATATATATATATATATATATATATATATATATATATATATATATATATATATATATATATATATATATGAGAGAATGTTTATGTGTATATGTTTAATAAGAGTAGATAATTTTCACCTATTGTCCGGTTCACACTCCTACGCGTTTAGGAATTGGTTTGCGGTTCCTTCTAAAGTTTTCTTATTCTCTTTCCTCCCAATAACCCCTATCGTCTTAGTAGCATTATCCCTTCCTTGGTGTGAATTAGTTAAAAAAATAACCTTTAAATGTATGGACATGCGTATGTGCATATATCTGATTCTTATATGAGGGCGTCTATGTTCTTTTTCCTTCCACGATTTGGATTAGTGCCACGGGCAGGAATTAAATAAATCATCTGAAGTGCAAACTTCCTCTAACTTCCCTGCTTAGCAGTCGTATCAATAACAGCGAACTTCGTCACTTATCTTCCAACCAACGATATTTTCTTTCCGAGTTCTTTTTCCACGGGATTAACTACTGTTACCGAAATAGCAGAAAAGTTGGATTTAGCCAGCCAATGATTAATTCACGCACGTACGCACACACGCACATTCTATCTATCTATCTATCTATCTATCTATCTATCTATCTATCTATCTATCTATCTATATTTTTCTCTTTCACTAACGCTCAATCTAAACTCATATCTATCAAAAAGAATTGCATCATCGCGAGACGAGTTGCAATCTGCTTCAGTGTTATGGCCAAAATTCGTTTTCTATTAAAAGTCCAGAATTCGAATAATGATTTCCACACTCACCTTAAATTCTCCCCAGACGCAAGACAATCTTCCATTGCCCACTGTCCTTTGTCCAGACTAAGACTTAGTAAATATATATATCATATCTATGCACTTGACGCATTAAGTACATGTTGGGAATTTGATTTTTTTTCTTTATCATTTTTATTTTTATTTAGTACTGTTGAGTTATTGCTCGCCACTGAGTGCAAGTACACACTGCTCATTTGATCTGGCGTGCGATACTGCTCAGCTACAGAGGAAGCGTCTGGTAAACAGCAAATTTTCCACGATCATATCTGCTCGAAACGTAAATAAATGACAACATATATTATGAATATATTATGTAGCTGGCATCGAATGTACATTTCATTTATTCTGGGAGATTGCCATTTAGTCAGGCGATGTTTAATACTTTTAAACCACGGTGGTCTCTACATCAAATCGTGGCTCACACACCCTTTAGTATATCCAGTTAAATAATGCTTATAGTATTAAAAATAATCTCAGATTAAAATATATTGAATACTTAAAATCACCGTGTTTACGTTTTGGATATGAAAATATATCAGTGAGCAGATATAAACATCAAACATCTCAACAGTAGTTGAGATATTTCATTATATATATATATATATATATATATATATATATATATATGTAATAATCCGTAGGTATATAATCCAAGTGAATAATAATAATGTAAAATATTAAAACTGATCCACAAAAAGAGCTCAATGTATTTATTATAGAAGACCATATCCAGTGCTGTTCGATAAAAGTGACTCACCTGATTTTTTTTACTAAAAATATTTTTTGTCTATTGTTTTTGGGGTTAAAATAATTTTTAATCTTACTAATATAAAGACCCCCTTCCCGACCACCTAGGAAAAAAGTTTATGCACAGTTTTTTCCTGAATCTCATTTATATCCAAAATTATAATTATCAATAAAATACCTTAGGGTGAGTAAACTTTTGGCCTTGTGGGCCGAAATAGCTATTCAAATATGGTAATTTTGGATTTCTATTCTATGTAATATATAGAGAGAGAGAGAAAGAGAGAGAGAGAGAAGAAAAGAGAGGAAGGGATAGGGAGAAAGATGGAGGAAGGGATAAGGAGAAATCGGGACTGATATGATATGGTGAAAGTGAGTGAGAAAGAGATAGAATAGAGTTAGTTAGAGAGAGAAAGAGGGTCGTTTTTTATTTATACTATTTATATTTTGACTATTGTCTTCATCTTTGTTGTTTTTATCACAATGTCCCGGCCGTTGTGCACGCCGGCCTTCTATGTCTATATCGATCTAGGCAATTCCGAACTGAACCCCATATTTAATCTACGGGAAGTGGGTGTTTTCTTCCACTGCTTATGTCGAGGGATATCGTCTTTTTTTTAGTATAAATAGTATAAATAAAAACGACCCTCTTTCTCTCACAAAAACAGAATACATACATATATATATATATATATATATATATATATATATATATATATATATATATATAAATATCAGACATTAATCTAATTCCTGTCTGAATTTCAGGGATGAGGAGTTATCCTTATGTTGTAACCTGCGGAAAGTTGCTTAATAGAATAACACGAAGGTTGGTAATAAACGTGAATACTTAGGATAAGAAGAACACATATAAATTTCGCCAGCGGCGCTTAAAAGAAGCAGTCAACTGTTAGAAGTGAGTCAAGTGAATTCCACAAGGAAATTTCAACTGCAGGATATCTGCCAACCGCCCCACGTGGTCAGATGTGGCAGAAGGCTACATTTAAAGTGGGGTATCCAAGCCCGTAGACTCGGCCAAACATTCCCTGTCGACCCGGTATAAAACTGGGTCGGGAAGCTGTTTCCCAAGACGAGATTCTGCCCTTCTACATAGCTTCGTCTGGAGATCCTCTCTGCTCGAAGGCACAGTTTGACCAGCACAGCTGGAGACGAATCTCCAACTGCAGACCAACATACAGTATTTTCTATTGTATTTATGTGAATGGAGACATACCCATTATCGTCCGTAGATATGCTACAACACCTTATTTAAACTATTTCCCCATGTTTGTTGTTGTTATAACAACATTTCAACCGTTATTCCCTACTGCTTTCAACAGGTGTATATGGATCCGGTAACCTATAGGAAATTCCGAACTTAACCCTTTATTTAATCTATGGCGTTAGACTGTTCTCGTTTTACTGTCCCCATCTAGAGATATCTCATCTAGTTCTTACTTTACTAAAAGTAAGAACTAGATGAGATATCTCTAGATATCTCAATTATTGCTTGTCATGTTTTCAGTGAGTCCAAGCACACAATACCCGGCCCAAGGATTGAACTCGCAATTATTATATCACAAAATTCACGAACCAACGCTTTAATCGAATTTAATTCCCTGTACGCTACCCGGTTAGATATACATCTGATGAAGGCCGGCGGGCACAACGGCTGAAACGTCAAGATAGCAACAACAAGAAAGTTGAGGTCAATAGTACGCATGTAAATAATGTAAATAAGCTATAAATAGCCAAAAATCTTCACTAGATTCACGATTATTTTTGGAACTTTTACACATCCCATTCAGAAATATCTTGTTTCACATATAACCCAACACAAACATCATATCAATATCTAATTTGGGAATGTTCTGAAACAAGCTTATGTTTTGTTGTTAGATATTTAACTCCTTCGTACCTTGAAGAGCTACTAAACAGAAAAAGAGATACTAAGTAAAAGAAAAAGAGGACACCAAATACATTTACTACATTTATTACATGTATCACAACATAAAGCAAAAAGACACAACAAACAATAGGTTGTTGCTCACAAGGTATAGACACGTGGCCGAGTGGTTAGATAGTTCGCATTCTGACCATGAGACCCGGGTTCGAATCTCACCATGATCGATTTGTCAGGAAGGAGACTTTCTGATATCACCAGAATGGAGGGGTTGGTTCCACCGTTCGGCAATTATGGAAAATACTTGACAACCATACCATATGCGGTAGATAGCTGTGCTAGTATAGGCGGACACTCGTATTCGAGGATACCCGTCTACAGACGCTTGCTCAGATGCTAGCACGAAGTAAAGTCATCGTGGTTGAGGGCTTGAGCGTGCTGGCCTTGTTCAAATTGTTGATCACGCGCTCTTTCGCAGAAACTGTAACTAAAGTCTACTCAGCATAGTTGCAGTATAATAGTATCTGTGGGTGTTGAATAAACACAAATCCACCTGAGCAAGCGTCTGTAATAGGGATTGGCTAGCCGCTCTAGTAGACGGGTATCCTCGAATACGAGTGTCCGCCTATACTACTACTCACAAGGTGTCTGTACCCTTGTGAGGATTTTTCTGCCTTCAGAGGGGGTTATAGTGCCCAGTTTAATAAATGAAGTTCACTTTTTTATATTGCTTCAGGATTTCTCAATATCGTGTCTGGTCCTTGTTACTGCCAAACTCTCTCTACCTCTAAGAGAGTCCAAGATGCAGGGTAAGGTGGGATGGGGTGGTTGTCATGCTACCGTTTCGAACGGGAATTTATGAGATCCCAAAATAGATGTCCTAGGGCAGGGTATCCCTACACTGAAGTTATAAAGCAATTTTTTTAACAAAAAATAAAAAGAATTCAAATAATTTTACATCAAAACGTCTTTCAAGAAAAATAGGATATATGAAAATAAATTAACTGATGAATGAATTTCAGAATCTGCAAAATTCGGATATAGATAAGTAATCTTTTTTACACACATATATATATATATATATATATATATATATATATATATATATATATATATATATATATATATATGTGTTTGTGTGTGCATTGTGTGTGTTTTGAACAATAAAAGATATTAAAAAAAAAAATTTTCAAACACATTGGGCTGTATATTAATTTTTTTTTTTTTTGTTTTATTATTTCAATTAAGTTCCTCGACTAGTTTCAGCCAGGATGGCCATCATCAGGCGAAAAAAAATTCTGCTTTGTTATTAGCAGTGGACTACATGAATGAATGACTTTCTGAAAAAAATGAACTTTACCTGTAGTTTTGATTTATTTTATTTTTTTTTTTTTTTGTCGTTAATTTTGATCAGTTCTTGTGTTGGTCAAATAGCCTCCTTTAAGTTGTTTTTAAGATAGGGGCTGCTGGATAGGTGAATGCGACTCTGAATTCCCTTGGTTAAGGATTAATAATAATAATAATCTTACTTATTATAAAACGCAGATTGTGTGTGTGTGTGTGTGTGTGTGTGTGTGTGTGTGTGTGTGTACGTTTATATATTGGATCCGATTTCCTACATTTTTGAACCGATTTCAACAAAACTTCACAGGACTGCGTAAAATTACCTTGCGGTGGTTCTGACAGTGCCAAAAATGGGAAAAACACAATTGTTTTAGCACGGAATCAATTTGAAAACACGATTAAGAGGCATCGCTGTCGCCAGAATGAAAGGGGGACAACTCATATCGAGTTATAAAACCCAGGTTGGTTGTTTGTGTGTGTGTGTGTGTGTCCGTTTATATATCGGATTTCCTACATTTTTCAAACAATTTCAATAAAACTTCACTTTCTTTTGGCAGGTAGTGTTTCTTATTGTCTAGCACACTTTTTTCTTTATTTTTACATTCAGAATGCATTAAAAATTCTATTTACAAGACAATTGTTTATAATAAAATTCTATTCAATCGATAGACTCATAACGATTGAAAAAAAAATAATTAAGACATGCGTGTCCGTCAACCTTAAACAATAATCTTTGTCAATTTTATTTTTCAGTCTTTATGATGGTCGATACTTGATCTATCTCTTACTGTTACATCCCCGGGCTCTACTGCTAGTAATATATATATATATATATATATATATATATATAGATATATATATAGAGAGAGGGGGGTAGTATTCCGTTGGTATAATAATAGGACTCGCCTGAATTATACCAACGGAATACTACG